CTCATACAGCAGATTATATGAGCCTCCTACAGCAGATTATATGAGTCTCATACAGCAGATTATATGAGCTCCTACAGCAGATTATATGAGTCTCCTACAGCAGATGATACGAGTCTCCTACAGCAGATTATATGAGTCTCATACAGCAGATTATATGAGCTCCTACAGCAGATTATATGAGTCTCATACAGCAGATTATATGAGCATTAAGTTGGTGTAAAACTTTACTGGTTTGGTTGGATTGTTACTGGTGCCGACCTGTTCAGCTGAACCAGAACTAAAGAGTTTCAACATGTGATGAAACAGAAAAGAGAAGAAATAAAGATGCTTCACCACATCAGGCACATCATCTGCACAGGACAAAGAAAAAGCACCAGATGTAAGTCTGCTGTAGTTTATTATTCTTCAGACCGTCAGGTCTGTGAAATCAACACAAGCCTGTTTTCACTTCTCTCTGTAGGTGGAGTCAGCTGTTCCCAGGAAACCAGAGCAGAACCTGCAGATATGTGTAAATGTACACATGACACCCAGAACCAGAYGTCCAGGTCCACTGCACCTTCAAAATAAAAGCCCCTCAGTCTCCAGCTGAGGGGACTTTAAGAATAAGAATTATTACCAGAAAACATTACAGTCACCTGTCAAATATATTATTTCATCAACTGAAATTATAAAATTTTATGAGTTGGTTGATTATAAGATTTTGTTGATTATGTACAGTATAAGGCTCATAAAGGTCTTTGAACATTCAATCAAATTTTGTTAAGAGGGAAAGTTGTTATAATTTGAAAGGATTTGAAANCATCTGAGTGGTGCACTACTGCTACTAGTGGTGAGAAAGTGTATTGCACCTTATTCAAAATCAATGCGGCCCCACGGCCCAAAGTTAAAAACTGTTGTTCTTTTGAGGCCCTGAAGGTGGCGCTGTGACCCACAGGTTAAGAATCTCTGGATTATAAGATTACCAAGAAGGATGAAAAGCTTTGCTTGCCCCTGCACACAGAGGTTTTAGTTAAATATAAATCTGTTGTGATAATTAACTCCAGCTCTGTCTTTGTGTGTCTTCAGGGTGGTGGTGTTAGAGAGCCGGCCGACCGACAACCCCACAGCCCTGAGCAACCTGTACATCTTAGCAGGTCATGAAAACAGTTACTGATCCTGAACACGAGGAGGTCTGGGCTTTGGGAGAACCCTCCAGAGTTGGGCCTACAGCTGCTTTGAACAGATTACTGGGAGCTTAGTTGCTGGTCTGCAGTCCCACAGCTCTGACTGTAGCAGAACAAAACCAGACTGGTTTGAACTGGACCCAGAGAACCAATAACAGCTCAAACAGTACCTAGCATTGTGATTACTTCCTGGACTGTGAACTGAGTTCTGTAGAGGTGTTATTGACAAAAGTGCCATTAAACTACACAACAGATGTGATTGTATCAGGAAACAATGGGAGAATAACAGTTGTTGTGTTTAACATGTTGAACTGAATGATTAGCAGTGAGCTTTGGGAGCTTTTACACATTAGTTTAAACTCATGAGCCGTTTGGGTTTTTACACCAATATTTATTAAGCTGATGTTTGGTGTTCAGGTGGTGACAGAGTGATGGAGCTGAATCCTCAGCAGCTCTGGGTTTGTTTTTTATTTTACTGCTTTGTAATATAGTTTCTCCTGCTCAGCTGCATTTTTACTACTTGGATATAATGTACGTTTTCTCTTCACCCTCTTCTTTTATTGACTTTAACTTTCTATTATTTGCACCATTTCAGCACTTTTGTACATTTTTTTATTTAAAATAAAATGACAAAATGAGGGACAATGCTAGGTTTTATTAACATCTCTGCATTCCCTTTGCAAAACGTTTAATGTATACTTTTTTTGTAATAAAAATATTTTAACATGGTAAAGATGAGGTGTGGTTTGTGTTGTGAACAGGTGAGAATTKGTTTCCATTATTTTCCTGTTTCAGCTGCTCCCCTTAGACTGAGCCAAGCTAACTGGTCCCAGTGAGACAGAAAAGACTTTTCCTGTTCGAAGCTGTGAAAATATTCTGCTGGTGAGCTTCAGTAGCTTTGACAAACAGTGTGTCTGATAAACTGAGGTTTCTGTAGAAATGTTAAACAGCTGCTGAGATTTTCTGAAACTGAATTAAAGCTAAAAGGAACTGAATGTTTAGAACTAAACTTTGAAAAAGACAAAAATAAAGGAAAACAGATTTCAAAGGCATTTATTGAATATATTAATCAGCTATTACAGACAAATATTAGGGCTGCAACGATTCAGAAAATTCACAATTCGGTTCGGTTCGCTGCTTTAGTCTCACGGTTCGATATTTAACTTGTAATTTATGTAAATTAATTATGAACACTTGTTTAACCTCAAAAGTAGAGTTTTTAAATTAAATGTTGCTGAAACAGCAAGTTTCTCAGTGGATCTGCACTCAAAAATGCAGCCTAGGTGG